TATATATATATATATATATATATATATATATATATATATATATATATATATATATATATTCTTTTTTATAGCTGCCATCACTTCCCCTCTAAACCAGATCAGTTTTAACCAACACAACCTTCTTCCTCAATTGTGGGATTGTGATTTTTTGGGCATCTAGTAAAGTGTTCTTTAAAAAATCCCAATTATCTTACACATTTTTCTGATTCAATTCTTCCTCTCAGCTATTATGGTTCATAATTGTTTTCAGCTTTGTGAAATTGAACCTCTTAAAGCACCAAGTGTGTATATATCAATGGTCTGGACTTTATTCTGTGTTTATTATAACTTTATTATAAATGTTATCAAGTCATGATCACTTGTATCCAAGTTACCATTAACTTCTAGTTCTGTGATCAGTTGCTCTTTATCTGTCAAGACGAGGTATATAAAATGATATATATATCATTTCCCCCAGGTTGGAGCAGTATTTTTTTTTGAGTTAGGAAATTGTCATGTGTATTATTTAGAAATTCCAAGGATGTTTTAGTACTGGCAGCATGAGGCTTCCCAGCACCTGTCACTCAAATTGAAGTCCCCATGATCAGAGTTTTTTTTCCTACACGACATAGATAGTTATATATTGAGCCAGTCATCCTTTTCCCTAGTGTGATTTGGGGGCTTGTAGCAGACATTGACTAATATCCCATCTTGTGCTTTATCTGTTGGAAGAAAATTATCTTCAGTACTAAGTTATCAGTGACTCATAAACAAGCAATATCATTTATGACAGAGTGTCACTCCTCCTCCCCTTTGCTCACTCAATCCTTCCTAATTAGGTTATAACCCTTGATTTTAACATTCCAATCATGGGAATCATCCCATCAAGTTTCAGTAATACCAACTAGATCCAATTTTTGCTCTTAAATGAACAATTCTAATTCCTCGTTTGTTACATGGGCTCCTAGCATTGATATATAGGCAACTAAAGAATTTCTTCTCTTCATGACCTTTGGTTCCTTGATTAATAATATGCGTCATGAATGATGAGGGATGATATATCTGCAGAAAGAACTAGTAATGGTACTCTTGCTGATTTTACAGAAGTGCTTTAGAGAACCAGATGATGGCAAAATGATTCTTTGTTTATTATATGCCTTCTGGACAAATAGGACAGGTATATCAGGAAGCATTTTTTCCCCCAGAAAGGAGAGCCTGTAAATCTTGGAACATTTATCATGGTGAATTTTGATTATTTAGCTTGTTTATATGGCTCAGAAACAGCTGAAATACTGACACCATTAATTAGGCTAGTTCTTGGTAATAAACTGGAAATAACAAGTTAATTAGGGGTTAGGGAGTATCTCCAATGTAGTGATGCAAATTATCTTTACATTTTGAAGATTTCCAAAGGACATGCTTACAGAAGTGTTGGGTTCTAGTGTGTCATCATGGGAGTATATTTCATAACTTTAAAAAATGAAGATTTGAAACAAATTTTGTATGCTCACTGAAATTCATATTGCATGCGTATGTGAGATTCATGAACTTGTATACTCTGTTAATTGTCAGATATTCAAGAGTGCTTGATTGCTAGCATTTTTGTTTTAGGAAAAGTGCATTTCACTTAGCAAGGCAAAAAAATTAGAAATTAGTACAAGCAAATTTAAAAGACAATAACTATCTAGAAAAACATGGCTTATTAGAAGGTTTATATCTCTTAAACAAGTTTATTTTTATTCTGTACCATTCTGGCCCTAATTCTGAAGCAAGAATCTCTGAATTTTGTGGTGCATCTATATCAATTTTTTTTCACAGGCTGACATTTCAATGGCAGCATGAAATATCTAGAAAAATATTTATTAAAAACAATTGAAACAAAAGAATTCTCTCCCCCCCTCCACCCCCATAACTCAATTATGAGTTAGAAACTAAGGACTAATCCTTAGTTGATGATATTCATCAATCTAGTTCAGTTGAAATAATAAAGCCATGCTGATTCCCACCAGCTGAACATGCGGTCCTAAATGTTGCATACATTTCCTTGGGGTTCACTTCAGAATATTTTTTGATACTTTTCCAGTTTTGTGCTTCAGAAAACAGGGTCTTTTGCTATGCAGTTTTTCCATTTATTGAGGTTTTTTTAGGTTTCCATTAGAACAACGTATGTAATCACATGTAATCTGCTCTTCTCTCTTCCCTTCCCCTTGCACATGAAGTTGAGGCAGAGGATCCATCTCATTTTTCCCCCTCCCTCATGGGGCACCAGGGAAAGAACATTTCCTAATCTTCTCCCACTCCCTTTTTCCTCCTCCAGCCTCCATGACACATTCTTTCCTGCCTCAGGCTGGGAGAATGCAGTACAAATTCTTTTTACATGCCCCTCCCTTGAGGGGGCCCAAGAAGTGGTCAGTTTGTCATGTTTTGCTTCTCCTTTCTCAGTAGGAAGGGGAGTAAAATGGTAGTATTTTCTTCCCAGTGTTGTCTTTTGCACTTTATCTGGGGCTGTGACTTCCATTTTAATGAAGCTCCAAAGAGCATAGCATGCTTAAATTAAAAATACCTTGTTTTGCTGTATGTCCTATTGGGGCTTCACTAGAGAAGAAACACTGGAGTATCCATACTTCAAATGGCTAATATTTGGGCCCAGCACCTGCTAAGGAACCACCTCTTCTTGCTCCTAAGCATTTGGTAGGTTTGCAGTCTGAAAAAATGCCAGTGTTAAGATTCAGGAATTTAATTCCCATTTTTGTCTACTACTGCCACCCCCATCAGGAACAATCAACTAAAATATACTCAGTTCATACTCTTTATGGAAGCGGTGCTTAACTGTTTTCATGTATTAACTAAACATATAGCAATAAAGCTAAGCTTATTTAATTGAGGTACTGCTACTGGCTGATAAAGATGGGGTAAGATGATAATGAATATGCTGCTTCGTATATGCAGATGTGTTGGAGGAGGACGAGGAAGAATCTGACAGAGAGCTGGAACGACAGAATATTGAAGAGCTGTATGACTTTGTGAGGCACACACATCAGCAGGAAATCCAGTTTTTGAGGGAGGATGTACAGCACTCTGCATTAATTCCAGTACTGAGGCCATACCAAAGTGAGGCTGTGAACTGGATGTTGCAACGGGAGAATTTCAGAAACAACCCTACCAATGGCAAGTACATGGCCCTGGACTTGATTATAACACTACTGAAAATAAATGAACAATATAGTATCAAAAAGGATTGAATATGCACTAGCACAATTTTATTAGAATAGTCTCCTCGATAATTAAGTAATTGGAAGATTTGTTTTTATTATTTTAATAATAAAAATTGTAGTTGTGTTTGAGGCAACTAGTTAAGTTATTTTTATGTGGGTTTTTTTTTTAATTGTGAGCTGTTTTCATGTTGGTCTAGAACTTAATATAGACATTGTCAACCTGGATATGTTGGGTTTTACTGTTGTTTCAAAATATAACATTTCACAAAATAAAGTTGTCTTATAATTGAAGTATTTAAGTTTGAAAAATAGCTACTCTCCATGATCAATAGCCACACTTCAGAATATTTTGGGCTATACACTGAATTTCCCTACTATTGTTCATTACTTTTATAATCCTAATACACCTCTACCCCGATTATAACGCTGTCCTTGGGAGCCAAAAAATCTTACCACGTTATATCGGGTAGAGGTGTATGTCTTTTGGAGCAGTTTTGGCATTGATTCTGCATTGCTGTGGACATGTTATAATCAACATGGATCAACAAGAAGCCAGAGTTCTAGACTAAGGATTATATTTTATTACAGTATATAGTTCTGGTGACCCAGGGAATAATTGACCAAGCTTGTTGACCCTAGCGCTCTAAAGATTCTTTTTCAAGTGCTGGTCCCTATGTGTATTCCCTATATGGGTGCACATGTGCGCCATATGTCCAAGTCCCAAAATTCTAACAAACCATGCCCATTGGCTCACACATGTGGAGTAGTTTTATTCGTGCTCCAGACTGAAGACATAAGAGGCAGTACAGACCGACGCCTTTCCAGTTCCTTCTTACTGCTGCATGGCCTGAGTTGGAACCCCATGTCTGCAGATTTCTCCGGCTTTTCTCTTTGATAGCCTGTAAATAGGTACTGTAAATAGTTTTATAGCTTTTATATTAGTATAAGGTGGTCCCCAACCTTTCTGTTGCAATAGCATATTCATGTTCCCAGAAGAGTGTGGCGGCGCCGGACGACCAGCCGCTGAAAAGCGGCGTCATCGAGAAGTGTCGCCGCCGAAATGCCGCCGAGAGCCATCATCAGTAGGCGGGTGCACATAAATGCCCTGGCGGGTGCCATGGCGCCTGCAGGCACCGCATTGGGGATCACTGGTGTAGGTAGTATAGCTTGTTCTTTTTCCCCCATGCTGGGGGCTCCCTCCTTGTAGTCTGGGACTATGCCCAGAGTCCTGGGGATTCAGGAGCTGTGTCCTGCCCTCGCTTTTTCTCCATGAGTGATGATCACCAACACTGTCTCTACTGCTTGGGTGAGAAGCATAGTGCAGTATTTTTCAACAAGAGGTGGACTCCCTCCTCCTCTGAGGGTCAATAGACCAAGTGCTACTTTGGTATCAAAAGAGAGAGTTTTCTATTCCCTTATTTTTTAGTCCTCAAAAGAAAGATGGAGAGGGGAGACCCATTCTGGACCTTTGGTAACTGAACCCCTTCAAAAATCAAAATTTAGGATGGTTACACTAGCATCAATAATCTCCTCCCAGTAGATGTGGTTCATGGCTCTCAACATGGACACTTATTTCTATGTCTTGCATCTGAAGAAGTGAGGTTCTGACCCACGAACGCTTATGCTCCCAGTACTTCTGTTAGTCTCAAAGGTGCCACAGGACCCTCTGTTACTTATTTCTATGCAGATATTAATCTGTCCCATAAAAAGTTCCTTCAGTTTCTAGTGGGTCGGGAACATTTCCAGTTCAGAGCCCTACCCATTGGACATTCTATAGCACCCAGAGTATTCACTAAGGTCTTCTCTGTGGTGGCAGCCCAAATGAGATGTCGGGGTTAGATAGTTTTCCCATATCTCAACGACTGGCTCCTAATAGGTTGCTCCAGCCATGAGGTTAGATCGGCAACTTTGAGCAGGAACAAAGAAAAGTCCGTTTTAATACACCCACACAGATGATAAACTTTGTGAGCAAGAGCATTTCTCCCCATGGAAAGATTTCAATTAATGAGCCATCTGATAGCACAGATTACTTGCAGACTGAGGACTCTGGTCAAAGTGTGCCTTTCTCTTCTAGACCACATGACCTTGTGAACTTGTGATGCCATTCGCCAGGCTTCACCTACACTGTCTACAGGCCTGACTCCGGTAAATCTACTTACCAGGCATGGATCACTTCAACACCAAAGTGACTATTCCCACTATCGCTTCTTTTACCTGCTGTTGAACCTGGATCGAGTAAGAATAGCTGTCCCCTTCATCACTCTTGTCCCCTGTGTCACCATCATAACAGATGGATCCCTTATGGGTTACGGTGTTTACCTGAACAACCACGCCATACAAGCATCTGGATCCACAGGCGGCCAGACTGCACATCAGTCTACTGGAACTGAGGACAGTCTGCCTGGCATGCAGGGGTTTTCTTCCACTCATTGATTTTTTTCATGCCCAAGTAATGTCAGACAATGTCACCACACAGCCTTTTACATAACAGGGCAGAGCAAGATATCTTTCCCTTGGGAACATTCTCCATGTCCCACCTGTCCATGAAGGTTGTATTTTTAGTTTCTATTACCTGAGCCAGAAGTGTGAATAAGATGGGAGCCTCATGGCAGACTCACCATGTACTGTTTTGCACAAGGGAAAGGTCTTCCTTCGCTTCCATCCTAAATTGCTCCCCGTAGTTATTTCTGAGTTCCATGACAACCGAACTATCTACTTACTTGTATTCTTCCTGGAAACCCCATGCCGCTGCTGAAGAGAGAAGACTTCATTCCCTCGATGCCAGATGTGTCTTGGTGCTCTGACTGTAGAGGACCAAATCGATCAGAAAATCACAAAGGTTATTTATTGCAATAGCAGAAAAGCTTGCTCTCGCAACCATATCCTCTCAGAGTATCTAAATGGATTTCTGGGCGCATCACTGCGAGCTATCAATTAGTACATATTTCTCCACCATGAGAGCACAAGGTGCCTCTACAGCACTGGTGCCCAAACCCCTCTTCTCCCCCTGCCCCCGTTACCAGTTATGGAATCTGTCCGCGTGCTCCCTCCATTACTGCACAGTTGGCTGAGTGGAGGAGCTTGGGCTGAAAGCGGAGATGGGGGCAAAACTGGGTATGGAGGAAGAGCTGGCCTAGAGGCGGAGAGGGAATGTGGGCAGAGCTGGGCTGGGGTTGGAGTAGGCGGCAGAGTGGAACTATGGTTGGGGCCTGAGCTGAGCAGGGGGCAGAGTGGAGCTATGGCTGGGGCCGGAACTGGGCAGGGATCGGAGCAGGGGATGGAGTGAAGCTGTGGCTAGGGACAGAGTGGAGCTGCGGCTGGAGCTGGTTAAGGGTGGAGCAGGGCTGGGTGGCACTTCCTCCACACCCCACATGGGGGCTGGCCTGGGCCCCACTGTATCTCTTCCCCCTCCCCTAGGGTTACCATATTTTAAGTGTCCAAAAAGAGGACACTCCACGGGCCCCGGCCCTGCCCCAACTCCGCCCCTGCCCCACCCCCGGCCCCGCCCCAACTCCGCTCCCTCCCCTGCACGCTTCGCCCCCTGCCCTGCCCCCTCCCCTGCTTCCCGCAAACATTTGATTCGCGGGAAGCCTGAAGCAGCAGGCAAGCTGGGGCAGGGGGGCGCGAGGGGGCGCGGCTCTGCTCCCGCGTCTCCTGCCCGGCTTGGCTCGGGCCCCCTGCCCCCGAGCGCACCGGCCCCCGGCCGAGCACCCCTGGCCCGGCCCCCAGCCCGGCCCCCAGCCAAACACAGCTGGCCCCGGCCCCGCACCGCCGGCCCCAGCCCGCCCCGGCGGCTCCGGCCGAGCACTGCCGGCCCCAGCGGCTCCGGCCCCCGGCCGA